CTACAATAGATTTAAAACTTGAATTTTTAAATGAGTTTTTAATCAGGACTTGGGGGATTTTCTATATGCTACATGTTCATTACAGAATTGTATAGTCCCTATAGAACCTGTACTCTTTTATCATTATTCTAACTTTATCCAGACCACCAGAGTTCAAGTTCTTCATGCCATTTCATTGTTATACCAGATAATTGTCACAGACTTTTAAAAGTACAAATTTCTATCTAGTAAGTTCCAATAATAATTTGAAAGCACCGCCAGACTGGCAGCATCCTTACAGTAAGTATATTCACATGGGTGTTGATTATGATGCCACACAGACTTGCTCTTAATGCTATTTCCTGATGAGGAAGAGCAGACATGGACACATTTGTGGGTCAGAAAAGTGGCTTTCCTCATGCCAGGTACCAGGTCATCATGGAAAGCTGGGTAAATGCTAGGTCTCTTGGCTATGCAGTGAGATGTGTCTTCTCAGTGCTAACTAGCACAGCAGATGAGAAAACTCTGAGACTGGAATTCTTATTTGACATATTTAGGTAATCCGTATCTAATATATAACACTAACATTCTGTGGGAAATCATTAAGCATTCATATTCTAACTTGCACCTATCCATCCAACTGCCCTTTTTAACTAAGTACCACTGAAAATGTGGGATATGTCTATCATTATGGCCAAATATGTACTATATATAGAAATTCCAGCCCTCTTTAAAGAAAATGAAATGCAAGTCCTCTGAGACCTGAAATAGAGGGAAACTGCACACAGGGCAGAGTAGCTGGCCCTCGTTGCTACTCATACTATCCACTTATGCCCTTTCCCTTGCTGCCGCCAACACCTAAGTGACATCATTTCTCCTTTAGCTCTGTAACTTGACTAGAGACACAACTATGCTTTTTATTCCATTATAAGGAAAAGATAAGGCTAGCACTCAATACTCCTTTAAAGTCTGGGAAAGAGTAGCAGGGAAACACACAGAGCAGAACATTGTATTAGATCTGGCTCACAAGAGGGAGCTGCTCCCTGGAGCCCACAGCTGCCCTTCCAACCAAGTTCCACCACCTACGAGTGTTTGCCTAGACATCTTCATTCCCTGAAGCTTAGATCTACGAGAGTGAGTCGCCTGAGAGATGCTAAGCCTTCACCTCTGCTTTCATCAGGCCTTTCTTCCTGTCTGTGGACGGGCCTCTTCCCCAAGGGTCACCTGACACAACTTTCCTACACCCCCAAAACCATACAACACAGTAACCCTAACATTCATACAAGCAATACTCATGGTGTACCACAGAGAAATCATTCTTTGTACTTTTAGTTTTTCAATACTAACCTGTATTGTGCAAGTATATTAAAAAGAAAGCTCACCTTTGTGGGTGTGAGATGACGTGGAAGTGGGCAAGTGTGGTCAGTCTGCCTGCGGGTCCAGCAACCACATGGCCTGTTTCCTCCAAGATTGTACGTGTGTCCCTGTCTGTCAATGTAACCTGTTTCATTAACCTAACATAA